GTCCTCTGCTCAACAACTGCCCCCCCCACCCCAATACTGAGTGCCTGGCAGCAAAACCTGAAGCTCTCTGTGCTTACCCCTGGGCTGTAGGAAGCCAGGAAGGAGGCTGGGAAGGGGAGACGAGAGAATCAACATGACCCCCTTCCCGCTCCCCAGAGATGACTGCCCACTGGGGATCAGGGGCTGGGAAAGTATGGATTTGCATCCTTTAAGGAGAGGAAAAAGATGGAAAAGACTTCAGAAGAGGGTTGTGTGTGTGTGTGTGATCGTGCGTGTGTGACTATGTGTGTGTTTGGGGGTAGAGTCCAGGTTTGTTCTACTCCACCCCACCTTCGTCTGCCAGTGGCGGAGGGAGGCAGTCATCAAAAGCAGGAGCTGCTCTGGCTGTGAGGCCAGATCCCCTCCTTGGAAATGTTCTTTGAATCTCAGTGTGTGACTTACTCAAGCCGCCCAGAGCCCAGACTCTGACCCAGGACCCACATCTCAAGATTAGCAATGCAAGTTTGATTCTGCAAATGTTTATTGAGCACCTGTTCTGTCCCGAGAGCCCTGATCTGTGCATTTTAGCATCAGAGAGAGTTTGTGTTTCATTGCTTCTGCTCACTGAATGACCGGGAATTTGCAGATTCAGATTGAGGAAACTGGGGGGCTGCTTCCACAGAGTGGGCCAGAGGCCTGTGTTCCCTGAGTGAATGAATGAAACAAAGAACCAGCTGGTCATCACTGGACTGGCTGCTTCTTGAGCTTCAACCAGAGTTCTTATCTGGACTGGCTCTACTCACAGCATGCTCAGCCTGGTGTATTAAGAGCTGCCTGGTCCTTCTGTTTGTAACTGTGGCCCTTTACAGTTTAGTAAACATTTATTGTCTCCTGGGATCCTGAGCCAAAGAGTCACCTCGGTTTCAGGGAGGAGAGAATCCAGGCTCTGGGACATTGAGAAGCTGACCAGGGCCTCACACTGTCTTGGGTGCAGGGAGGCGCCCAGTCTTCCAGGAGACAGCCTTCCATTCCAATCCGTTCTAATTCCGGAGCTGAGTGGGCCTGAGGCAGGAGGACAAGCTCCTGGTCTGTCCTCAGTGCCCAGGAGGCTGAGAACAGGTGTGTGGCTGTGCCAGAGCATCACCAGTGGGGGCCCCACACCTGGCCCTGGACCGCCCTCCCTTCTTGGGTATCAGGCAGGCCTGCCTCCCCATCTGTCCAATTCCTGAGCCAGCTCCAGCACCTGGCCACTTGGGAAAGGCTCAGAGCTGAGCCCAGCAGCCTTGGAAGAATTTCCCTCCTGGCCTCTCAGGGCCACCTCCTCCAGCCTGCCCTGAGCTCCCGAGCGTCGTCATCAGGCCCACAGTTATTCACCTCCCAGCTGGCACCTGCCCTGGCCAAATTCCTGCTGCTTCCTTCCTGATGGGATTGGATATGGATGGATATGTGCCCCTGGCCTTGGGCTTTGTGGCTCTGGACAAGTCATGCCTCCTTTTTGGCCTCAGTTTTGTCATCTGTGAACCAGGTCAGTGACCCCAAGAGTCTCAAGGTGGTGATGGCTGGGAAGCCCCTGTGGGCCATCGGCCCATGGTACAGAGAGCACAATCTGAGCCAGCTGGCCTGGCTGGGGGACCTTGGGCAAGTCCCTGACCTCTCTGGGCCTCAGCTCCCTCCTTCAGGAAGTGGGATGATACCACGCAGCCTGCAGGCCTGGAGATCAGTGATGGCATGCGGCTAGCATCTGTCTGTAGCAGAGGGAGGGTCCTTGTGAGTCACTGGATCTGTGGTGTTCTGTCATCCCTAGTAGCTGGCCACCACCCTGCACTCCCACCACGACCACCACCATTAGTCAATGGTGAACCTCTTTTTATCAACATCAGGGTGGCTGCTGAGAAACCCAGGTCATTGTAATAGAGGTATCACATCTCTGTTGAAGGAGGTGGTATCTTTCTCTAAGCCTCTAGGAGCAGATTCAGTATGAACAGGAGCCACAGGCTCAATGTGATGATGAGCACTTAGGAGCCTTTCCACAAAGCAGGGAGCACATAGTGTGTAGAGGCATGCAAGCTGGGTCTTAGAGCAGGTTGTCAGGCTCCCAGGGGCCAGGTGATGCTTGGAATCTCTCAGGGTTCAGCCTTGCCCAGCCCAGAGCTGCCCACCCTCCCCTACTGAGACTGCTGGATGAGGGTGGAGAAGCCCTGCCCTTGGGAGCCCCCAGTCATGTCCTTACCAGCTCTTCTCCCCTGAGGTCCCCAGACCTGAGACAGCCACTTCTTGGGGGAAGGGGAGGAAGTCAGGCCCAGAGATGAGCCAGAGTCAGAGGCCAGCCCTGCTGCATGACCTGAGACAGATCAGTGGTTTTAAAGTGATTTGTTGAAACAAAATCTTAGCAGTAGCTCATTTATAGAAAATAGCAGATATGGGAGGGGATGCTTCTCCTGGTCTCCCAAACTAAGCACCTGCTTGCTCTGGCCTCGCCCACTCTGGCCCTCAGGTCAGGTCTCACCAACACCTGGGTTCCAGCCCCAACCTGGCCTTCACTCTGTGATTATGGGCAAATCCTCCTCCTTTCCGGACTTCCTGCCTATGAGTGATAAGAGGCCAGCTCAGCCACTGCTGGTCACTGAGCGCTCCCTGTGGGCCAGGCCCACATTGATCCTCAACAACCCCCAGAGGAGACGGGCCAGGAGGCAAGTCACTTGCCCAAGGGTGAGCTTTGGTGCACCCCAGGGGCTCCAGCCTGGGGTTCAGGGAAGCAAGGGCCACTTGGAGGGACCTTGCCACCTCAGTGTGCTCATCTGTAAGATGGGCGTGATACTAGCCTCTGCTCTGGGAGGTGAGCTTTAAGTGAGTTTCTAGCTGCCCGTCCAGCTGGAAGTGGGTTATTAATAGCGTTTCCCTTCTGTTCTTTTCTCCTGCTCTGTGACCCCCGACCCCACATGAAGGCTGAGCCTCCTGTGCGGAGCGGTGGAGGTAGAGGCTGGCCCTGGGAGCCAAGGAGTGGGCGCCTGCAGGTCCCCGAGGCCCGGCTGTGGGTTCTGTGGCCAGGTCGTTCCCCTCCGCTGCCCTGCTGAGCGTGCCCGGTCTGCAGCCAGGTGGCCGGCTGGGTTTGAAGGCTGGCTTGGTGGCTTCCTGCCTGTGTGGCCTCCTCGGTTTCTGAGGTTCTCGGTGTCGATGTCCCTCCTAGTCACTGGGGGCTGGTTAAGAAGCAGGTGGAGCAGGATCCAGGACACGGGCAGGAGGTGGTGCAGCACCCGGCGATCCTGGTGTGGAACCCGGTTTGGGAACCGCTCACCCCGTCTCCCAGGGCACAGTACCTGGAAGGGCAGGACACAGGTTCTTCAGGGCTGCCAGAGGCAGAGGGGCGGCTCTGGTATCTTGCCTGGGGGCTTTTTCTTCCCCAAAATGTACATGAGATGATTTCAACAAGTATTTTCCTGGGTAGCTACCGTGTGTCAGGCACTGTTCTGGAAGCTGGGTACCCCACACAAAACCCAACAAACGGGCTGTGGCCCTCTTGGTTCTCTAGGGGTGACAGCAGGGGTGGGGAGAGATGGTAAACTGTGCTGTTGTCACCGTGGCCCACAAGGCCCAATCTTGTCTGTGCCCATTACCCCTCTGCCTTCCTCTCAGACACCCTCCTCCTCCTTGCTTACCCAACTCTGGCCACCCTGGCCTCCTAGCCAGTCTTTGAACTGGGCAGCCACATTTATGCCTCAGGGCCTTTGCACTGCTATTCCCTCCAACCTGAGACACTTTCTCCCAGATACCCCCAGATGTATTGCTCACTCCTTCCCACCTTAGAGTCTTTGCTCATGCTTCTCAGTGAGCCCTTCCCTGACACATTGTTTCAGATCACACACACAGGCATCCCCCAACCCTGCTTTTACTTCCCAGCTTTAATTTTATTTATCACTTTCATTTATTCATTCACTCATTCATTTCATTTATTTTTCATCTTCCCTGACTGCTGTATATGCTCCGCAGGGCAGGGATTCTGTCCTCTGCTTTGCCAGGCACTGGTGTAGACCCTGGAACACAGATGTGAGCACTTAGTAGGTGCTCAGGAAATATTTGTTGAATGGATAAGTGAGGTAAACAAATGATTAGTTTAATTTCAGGCTATGAGAAGTCCTATGAAGAATACTGAAGCTGGGGGAAGGGAGGAGAGCGAGGGGATGGGACTCACAGGAGGAGGGGGAACAAGGGAGGCCTCCTGAAGAGGTGACATTTGAGCAGAGGCCTGAGGGAGGTGAGCAGCCACTGTGGCTACTGGGGGCAGGAAAAGTGACCCTAAGCTGGCAGCTAAATTGTGGCCATCCGGCCATCCTAAAGTTGCCGCAGGTCCGTCCTCAGCTCCAGGTGTGGGGATTGGAGGGATGACCAGGTTGAGACAACTGCTCCCCACCCCTGGCTCCTAGGTCCCCTCTTCCCCGGGGGAGTGTGCCTAGCAAGAGGGAAGGGGTTAGCCTCAGACCTCCCGGGTTCCCTGAATCAACCCCAGGCCGCTGGAAGCCCCAGCTGTGGCCCTGGGAAGGGGCTAGTTGCCTCCCTGCCCGCTGGCACTCCTGCTAGCCCGGTTCTCTGCCCAGCCACCAAGCAGCTTCCGTCTGCTCACAGGGGGCCGATTCATGGCAGACCACCCTGGGCCCGGTACCAGCTTGCG